TGCTAGAAGCGGTCGGCGCTTGGTTTCGTCCGTGACGCGGGTCTCGAGGATGCTGGTGAGCGACAGGGGCCCCTCGCGGCTCGGACCTCTCCCTCCAAGCGCTGACCCCCTGTCCCTTGCAGAGTCCCCGTGCCTCCCTTGATCCAGAGTCCCGGAATGGTCCCACCCCCGCGAGCACGCGGGTCTCCCCAAGACGCCCGGAGAAACCGACGGGGCCGTGCGCGCCGCCGGGGCTGGAGGAGGCGCTGAGCGCGCTGGGGCTGCAGGGAGAGCTCGAGTACGCCGGGGACATCTTCGCCGAGATCATGGTGAGCGGTCCCGCAGTGCAGCCGACGGCTTCGGTGTGGATGAGGCCGGAGCCCACGTGCCTGCCCCTCACGCGCTCCATGGGCGCTTCCAAACCCCGCGCAGTGACTGTGAGCGCCTGGAAACCCTTCCGCCCCACCCCTGGCTGTCTGCAGCCCTTTGGTTGGCCTACTTAGCCACCTACTCATTAGCAAATGACCTCCAGCGGGTTCCAGGCACTGGGGAAACTGGGGTGAGCAAAGCAGCCTTCTTCCGGGGAGACAGACAAGCGACCACTGTCTGTGATCACAGACGGCCACGTGGCCCTCAGGCACCTGCGTGAAACAGCCCGGCGCTGGGACATGGCTGCGGGGCTGGGCTCCTTGAGCACCTGCCAGTGCTGCCTTGGAGCCTGAACCCGAGCCTCATCTGGAGCTGGGCTACACCCGAGATATGGACAGTGGTGTGGACAGCCTAGCGGGGCAACCAGCCTGGGGCCGCACTGGATGTCCTGGGGTGGGGGTGGGGGATACTAGGTAGAAAATAAAGTGAGAGAGTGATGGGGTGAGGAGAGGGGTATGGGCAAAGGCAAGGAAGCTCCAGTTAAGACTGGAATGCGTGAAGACGTGGGGGAAGACCTGGGTCAGGGAGAGGAACTGCGCAGAGGTCCTGTGCAGGAATGGGCTCAGGCAGCCTGGAGCCAAAAGGCTGGGGTGTGGGGAGGAGGGCAGACGAGATGATCCTCCGTCCTCGGGGAGAGAGGAGGCCTGGGAGAGTCTGAGAGGAGTTAGGGTTTTCAGCTGAGGAGTTCCCTGGGCAGACAGGGTCAGTCTTTGGAAGAGCCTTCTAGGTACAGGGAGAGGGGCAAGAGTGGAGTTTGCAAACCCAGAGGGAGACACTCAGAAGGCCAAGGGGTCAGGGGCCTCCACATTGGCAAAGTGGGTGGGGGGCGGCCAGAACTAGCCCAGGGCTCCAGATGGGGACTGAGACACGGGGGCCAGTTTGCCTGTGTGGCTCCTGGGACAGCCAACTTGTGCCAGGAGGCTGCTGATGTCAGGGCACAGAGCGAGGCACAGGTGTGGATTGTGAGGCTGGCCCTGCCCAACCCCAGGTGTGCCGTGCGCTGCCCCGGAGGGCCCTGCCCCACCCTGTGACCCCGGAGATGCGTGCGCTGGTGGTGGATTGGCTGGTCCAGGTGCACGTACGTACCGGGCAGGACGCAGGGCTGGGCCCATGTCGCCCTCTGGATCCCCAGTGGTCACCCGTGCCCCTCCCCAGGAGTACCTGGGCCTGGCGGGGGACACGCTCTACCTGGCTGTGCACCTGCTAGATTCCTACCTGCGCGCGGGCCGAGTGCGCCTCCGCCGCCTGCAGCTGCTGGGCGTGGCCTGCCTGTTTGTGGCGTGCAAAATGGAAGAGTGCGTGCTTCCCGAGGTATTTCCGGCGTGGGGGGGGGGCGGTTGGGAGGGCGACCTGGCCGCAGCTACCTATTAGACACCTGCCGTGTGCGGATGCCGCCGCACCGCGTGCCTGCGCGAGGCAGCGGCTCCTAGGGCGCAGGACAGAGAGGAGGGCGGCTGCTCCGCCTGGCAGCCTTACGTGGTTGCCGTGGTTACTGGAACTTAACCAGTGAGGAAACTGAGGCAGAGGTGACCGGAGCGTCCCAGCTACACCGGGAGTAGGTGGTGGGAGGGCCCAGGTCTGAGGCAGCGCGTCCCCTCCACGTCTTGGAACACAAGGCAATGTCCCCGTTTTACAGAACAGGAAACTGAGGTCTGGAACTCGGGCCGAAGCGACCCCACGTGCTCCAGGGCAGGCACTAGAGGCCCCAGAGCGACGGCACCTCTACCTCTTCTCCCCCCGTCCAACCCGCAGCCGGAGTTCCTCTGCCTCCTGGGCGCCTGGTCCTTCTCGCGGGCCGAGCTGCTGCGCGCCGAGCGCCGCATCCTGAGCTGCCTGGACTTCCGGCTGCATCACCCGGGCCCGTTGCTGTGCCTCGGGCTGCTGGCCGCGCTGGCCGGGAGCAGCGCCCAGGTGCGCGCCCGGAGGGGGCGGGGCCTTGCGTGGGGGGCGGGGCCTGACGTTCGCCCCGCCTCGCCGGCAGGTGACGCGGCTGGCCACCTACTTCCTGGAGCTGTCCCTGCTGGAGGCTGAGGCCGCGGGATGGGAGCCGGGCCGTCGCGCAGCTGCGGCTCTGAGCCTGGCGCACCGCGTGGTGGACGGGGCGGGCTCCAGGCCCGAGCCGGCGCTTTACAGGTGCGGCCTTGGCGGAACACCTGTGATGGGGTCCGCGCGCGCTCGGCGGTGCCCCTGGCCGGCCGCTGCCTTTCCTGTCTTACACTACATTTAGTCTTGGGCGCTCATTGTGCGGGGTGGGGGGTGGGGCACCTACGCCTGACCCTTCTGCGCGTGAGAGCCCATCGGCCTTTCTCTGGGGGTGCGCCTTTGTCCAGACGCAGGGACCCCACCCTTGCCTTAGGGCGAAAGATAGAGCATCCCCGGGGCTTGGGAGACCCTCACGGCATCCCAGCCCCGCGTCCGCGTAGGAGCGGTAGCCCAGTCACGCCCGGGGAGCACAGGTGCAGTGTGGCCTCCCGGGCCCCGTACTCCCCTCCTGCCTGTCCGGGTCCCCGGTGGAGGACGGGCAGCCTCAGCCTCTGCGTCTCCGCCGCAGCCCCGCCGAGCTGGACGCCCTGGAGCCATGCATGGCCCGCGCCGCGCTCCGAGGCCCCGCGCCCGGCCGCGCCGCCGTCTTCCTGAAGTACGCGCGGCCCCAGCGCCAGGGCACCAGCCTCGCCGCCGCGCGCCTGCTCCGCCGCCTGCAACCTGGGCGCCCGCAGAGCGCCGGATCCCAGTAAAGAAACAAACTCTGTGTGTTCTTGTCTCCTCTCAATAAAAAAAATTTTATTTTGAGCGCTCTCAGTCCTCATTGGTCGAAAGCCTGCCCCCTCTCCTGCTTTTGATTGGTCCCTCCGGTCTCTCTGGTCTCTGATTGGATGTTCTCATCAAGTCCCTGAATGGTCGCTGGAAGTGGAGACGCAAACTCCGGACGCCTCCGCGAGGGGGCGCTGGCGGACTTCCCCACGCGTCGCCCCTGGACAGGAAGCTGGGGTTCCTGTCGGGGTGGGCGAGGAAATGCGAGGGGTCGGGACCCTGGGGGACAGAACGTCCCCCACCCCCGCCCCGGACGGGAGGGATGCTACCTGAGGCTGCCGGATTTTCAGATCTCAAACGAAGCTGAAGCGCTGGGATTCTGTAAACATATTGCTGCCACCTGAGTAGCAGTACAAGCCCGGCCGGTCACCTGTGCTGGCCCGCGAGGGTCCTCACAGCACGGACCCCATCGTGGTGCCGCGGTGAGTTAGTATGTAAGAAAAGCTTGGGGCAGGGCCAGGCCCCTGGGACATGTCCTAGAAGACTCAGCATTGCCTCACCCTAGGACCCTAGGACCGAGCTCGCCACAGTTGTCCCTACCTGAACATCTACCAGTCAGGGAACACTGGTTAGGAGCCAACTTGTAAAAGCCCCACGCTCGTCTAGGCTGCGGAGCGTGAGTGATTGGCGGTTGCTAATCAAGCCTGGGTTTGCAGGTGGAGGGAAGAAGGCGGTGGTGCGAGTTCACTGAGGACGCTTTCAATGTCGCGAGGTTGGACTCCCGGATGCTGGGGGAAGGGGGTGACTCTACAAAAGCTCTTTACTGCACCGGTAGGGGTGCGGGGTTTGTGTTTCTGCCGGTTGGGTGGGGCCTCCTGGGGAGGGCAGAGGGCAGAGGGAGGGGAGAGATACAGGCTCTGCGTTTCCTGCCTCACTCACCCTCACTCAGCGACCGCATGTAGCTGCTGCGTCCGCGCCAGGCGTCTCAATCTAACGACAGTGATGCCCCAGCGCTGCGCCAGGCCCTGTGCTAAGTGCGTTACCGCCATGGCGTATATTAATACAGAATGTAAATCCGTTCCTGCAGTCGCTCTGAAGCCAACTCACCTGCTACCGCGCAGGCAAGTCCAGGTGGAGGGTGATGAAGGGACTTGGCCAAGTCCCAAGGCTAAGGAGGGTGGGGTCAGCTCGCTCACCCTCCGTCCTGCTCCGGAAGGCTTCCGGCGCGTTTGCGCTCTTGCACTCCTGGTGTTGGGATGCTCAGGCAGCCGGGGGCCGGCCTGCTCTCTCGCCCAGGGGAAGAGTCGGCGAGGGCAGGAAGCGCCTCTTTCTTGTCCATAAGCTTTGCCTATCCCGCAGGGGGCCAAGCGCCACCAGCTGAGCCGGGGGCACGGGCCTCCCCCATCTGACCTGGCCCCTCTGCCTGTGCTTCCCAGGCTAGCCCACTCTGGGAAGTCAGTCTGGGCCCTGAGCTATCTCCCGAGTGAACTGGGGGCCCAGCCACGGTGGGGTCTAAAACGTTTAGTGCCTGATGTCCCAGCCCCATCCCGTGCAGAGCTGAGTGAATATTTGTTGTGTCAATAAATTAACGAATCCCGAGGTGGAAGTGAACGCCCGCGCGTGTTACTGATGAGGATGCAGCATCGCAGGTGATAGCAGTGAGCTGTCCGAGTCACAGAATGAACCGGCGAGAAAATAAGCAGGGATTTGCTCTGGGTCAGCTGGAGTCTGCATCCTGTGTTTTTACCCAATATGCCAAATGGCCAGTGGGCTGAAAACCAGCTTCCCGCGAGACTGATATGGTCCTGCTCTTCCAGGCCCGCCCTTTTCTTTTGGAAATCTCTGGAGCTTTGGGCACGGGGGAGGAGAACGGCGCGAGGCTGGGGTGGGGAAGAGGACAGGGAGCAGAGGCGAGGCGGCTGGAGAAAGAATCAAGCCCGGGGCTGATTTGAAGGTGAGCGTAGGGGTTTCTCGAGACCCACAGGGGGCAGCCGGAGTCGGCTGCCGGAGGTGCGGGGGCGGAGAAAGGGTGGGGACCAGCCCCGCGGGGGGCGATGCGGTAGCTGCGGCGGCGGCCGCAGGAGTTTCCCACAATGCAGCGCGGTGCGCTGTCCCCGGTGCTGATGCTCAGCGCTGCCCCGGAGCCTCCGCCGCGCCCGCCTCCCGCCCTTTCCCCGCCCGGCCCCGGCCCCGGCCCCGGCCCCCGCCATGGCTCAGCTCGGCCCGGCCCTGCCCCAGAGCCGTCGGGGGGCCTGGCTGCGGCGCTGGACAGCAGCCTGCGGGCCGCCGTGGCGTTCAAGGCGGAGGGCCAACGCTGCTACCGAGAGAAGAAGTTCCGGGAAGCCATCGGCAAGTATCACCGGGCACTGCTGCAGCTGAAAGCAGCGCAGGGGGCCCGCCCTGGCGGCCTGCCCGCCCCCGCCCCCGGGCCTTCCGCCAGCCCGGGGCCGGCCCGCCTCAGCGAGGAGCAGCAGCGCCTGGTGGAGAGCACGGAGGTGGAATGCTATGACTCTCTCACGGGTACGGGGCTGTCGGGGGGCTCGGAGGGGCGTGTGTGAGTGGGAGGGGTAAGGAGCAATCGTGGGGTCCTGGGGACTCGGGTAGGGGTGGAGGCAGAAGGGGCGAGGGCTCAGGTCTGTTGAGGGAGGCTTCAGAACTTGAGCAAGGAAAGGGATGGGGGTGGGTAGGGGATCACGGGGTCTCTGCACGGAGCAGGCTGGGGGCCAGGAAATGGGCTTTGGGCTGCGTCGCCGGGGGGCCCCCTGCTACTTGTGAACCTAAAGCTAGGAAGGCCCACCCTGGATGAGACGTGCACGGCTGCGTTCCCTTGCCTCTACGATTGCACTTCATGCGCTTCCTGCCCAAACCTCCCGGCAAAATTGCCCGCAAGTGCTTGTCTGCATCTTTCGCGCCCCCTAGCGGCGGCGCAGATGGGTTCTAGTCTGATGGGTTAGCAGAATGGCGCCCCCTGATGGCCAGAGCAATCCCTTCAGCAGGGTTTCGCCGTGAGGCAGGAGCTTACGCCTGGAGGCGAAGCCAGGCTCGTGCAGGTCGGGCGGGTTCAGGGGGAGGTGGCCAGCTCTGAGAGCGCCGCCCCGGTGCCTCCGCAGCTTGCTTGCTGCAGTCGGAGCTGGTGAACTACGAGCGGGTGCGTGAGTACTGTCTCAAGGTGCTGGAGAAGCAGCAGGGCAATTTCAAGGCCACCTACCGCGCCGGCATTGCCTTCTACCATCTGGGCGACTACCCACGTGCGCTGCGTTACCTGCAGGAGGCCCGCAGCCGGGAGCCCACAGGTGAGCGGCGAGGCGGGGCGGGCCCAGGGCAGGGAAGCAGAGCGCTCCGCCTGCAGAGCTGCCGCGAGGGAGAGCCGCGCCGCCCACCCCGCAGCCCGCGTCCCCCACCTACTCCTTACTCACTCGCCCAGTCACCCGGCGTTCATTCACCCGCCATTCAGACGCCCCCAGCCGCTGCTCAGCCGTGCAGTCACTGACCCTGATCGTCCCATTCACGTAGCCACCTCCGGATCCGCCCCTCCTCATCTCCCAGCTCACACTCCTTCCCCCTCACGAACCCCGACACCCACCCGCTCGCTTCGCCAGCCATGCCCGCAGCCACTCAGGGTGGGCGACGTCAGGAAAGCAGTCTGTGTGCAGGGCCCTGGGAGGGGCCGGCAGAGCCGGAGGCGGGCTCCTCCTGCCGCGGGCCCGGGGCCCTGGGGGAGGGGGCACAGGGGAGCAGGACCCTCGGACAAAGCTCTGCCCGCCTGCCCTGCAGACACCAACGTCCTGCGCTACATCCAGCTGACTCAGCTGAAGATGAGCCGCTGCAGCCTCCCGCGGGACGACCCTGGGCAGGGGCCCGGCCTCGGGGTGTGAGGGCTGAGGCCGACTCCGTCCCCTCACCCTGTAACCTCCTGGCCTCCCGTGTGTGCTGGTAAAGCTCTTGTGACCGCAACCTCCTTGTGTGGTGTTCCTGTGGGGGCCAGGGCGGGGACACGGTCCCTGGACCGCAGGGACCCAGAGAGGCATGGGGAGGGGCCGGGTGCCACTAGGGGTGACCCAGCCGCCGCGGGGCCCGGAACGACACATAGCCAAGCAGGGTAGGGGCAGGGGTTACCTTTAATGCTGCATGTTGTGCCAATCCCCCATGATGCCCTGTCCCTGAGTATCCCGGCCCACCCTCCCCCCACTGCAGGGTGGGCACAGGGCTCCAACCCCCTGGGGTACAAGGGAATAAATTAAGTGTTTCCCCCCCTCCCTCCTTCCCCAATAAATAGAGCGAGTGTCCTGCCCGGGGCCTCCCCCGCCTTGGGGCACTGCGGGCTGGGGCGGGGCCTGGGGCGCTACATTCATGGCTGCCCAGGCGGGCGGCGGCGGGCAGGCCTCAGGGGGCGCTGTGGGCCTCGCACAGGGGCACGGTGCTGTCCTGGCTCTGCCCCTCCATGTCCATGTCCAGCAGCGTGGGCTGCATGCTGGGGGGCCCAGGGCTCTCCGGCGTGGTGGGCCCGCTGGGAGGCGAGATGCTGAGTGTGTGGCCAAAGGAGACCAATTTCCAGGGGTCCAGGCGGGGGCGGCTGGCTGCCGGCCGGGGTCTCGGCGCGAAGGTCAGGGTGGTGGGGCGGCCAAGGAAGTCGGGGGGCCGGCGGCGGGGTGGGAACAGGGCCTGGGGGTCAGGCAGGCGGGGAAAGTCCACGGGGTCCGGAGGGCCTGCGGAGAGAGGGTGAGATGCCGGGTGCGCACAAGCGCCTTCCGGCAGGGCGCCAGCACCTTCGGCCTCGCCGCACCTGGCCTGCGGCCCCGCCCAGCAGCCCCTAGCCACGCCTTCGGGCCCCTCAAACACACTGCGCGGGGTTGGGTCCGGGAAGGCGTAGAGGAGACTCGAGGAAGGACGGTGTCTCTGAACAGGGTCCAAATACCACCGAGGGTTACAGAAAATAACCAACAAGTGGGCAGGCGTGGGCAGGCGCGGGCAAGCGCAGGAGGTGGGACACGGCACCTCCCGGGCATCGCACCCGCAGCTGCTGATGGAGGCATAGCGGCCCCGCTGCCGCCCGCCGCCCCCGCCTGTCTGTCGCACAGGGACCCCGATCAATTCTCCAGCGGCTACAAGGTCCCTCCCACCCCCACGCCGTGCCGCCGCCTTAGGGGTCTGGCTGGGCCTGGAGCCAGGGCGCATGGGCCGGGGGCACCTCACTCACCCGGGCCGCGGCCTGCGTGCTCCGGGGGCCCGCGCTGCCCCAGCGCCCCGTCTGATGGCGTCCGCCGGTGCCCGCGGCTGACGGCGCGGGCGGCCGTGACGTGGGTGGGCGTGAGCGACTGGCGAGGGTCCTTCTTGAAGCTCTCCAGCTCCAGGTCCACCAGGGGGTTGGCGCTGGGCGCGGGTGTGGGCGGGGAGGGCGGCGGGGAGGGCGCGGCCGGCGCGGCGTCGTCGCTGTCAGAGCGCAGCAGTGAACGCGTGGAGTTGCAGTCGGACACGGACGACAAGGACACGAGGGTGGCCGAGGGCGCCAGGCCCGGGCCGGGGGCCGCGTCGTCGCGGCGGCCCGGGAGGCGCCCGGGCGGGCTGATGCCCCGCGGGAAGCGGCCGGCGCGGGGGAAGAAGAGGCCGTCCAGCCAGCGCCGCTGCTCCTCGCCGTCGGCCGCGCGCGCCTCGGCCACGTCGGCGCCCAGGCCCACGGCGCCCAGCAGTGTGGCGCAGCCCAGCAGCGCGAGGTCGCAGCGCCGCCGAGCGCTGTGCCCGGGCCGGGCGTGGGGAGCGGCCGGCGCTGGGTCCCAGGGCGTGCGCGCCCCCGGGGAGGGCTCGGCGGGCAGCGGCACAGCGAGGTAGGATGGGGTGGTGTAGGGGGAGGGGGACACGCTGCCGCCGCCGTCTGCCTCCGCGAACTCCTCTGCAAACGGAGGGGGGCGTCGTCAGAGGCTGCAGGCTGGCCCGGGCGTCCAGGTCCCGCCGCCCTGGACCTGGCGGCCAGGGGCTGGCCCCGGTGACCCCCAAACAGCGAGACCGCCAGGTGCCCCTGAGCAGCACACTGAATCTTTCTCCTCCACGGGCAGGCCTGGGGGAAGTGACCCTGGGGGCAGCTCCTCCACTTCCCGCCCCTTCTCTCCCGCCCCCGAGCACCCTCGCCCCTTACCCATCTCGCTGAGGCTGGCGAAGCCAGGGGCGATGGGTGTGTGTTTGGGGGACTTGCCCAGGTTGGGGGCGCTTGACGACCACTGCTTGCTGCCTTCCCCCAGGGCCTTCAGCCTGCAGGGAGCACCGGGGGGGGGGGGGTCAGCCACAGGGCTGCTTGGGCACAGGTGGCACCACCCGGCCAGTACCGAGAGATGAGGGGTCAGCCACAGGGCTGCCTTGGGCCTGGGCACAGGTGGCACCGCCGGCCAGTACCTCTCCTCGCCTCCCGCGCGCTCCTTCTGCAGAGTGGAGCTGGGGCCCCACGTCCGGCCCTTCTTCTTGCCCCCAACCAGTTCTTCCTTCTTGGGAGGCCCACTGCGGCTCCAGGTCCCACTGGCGCCACCGCTGCCACCGCCGCCACCGCTGCTGCCGCTGCCTCCACAGTCCACGGGAGTCACTGGGCCGGGAGAAGACACTTGGTGGCTGGATCTTGGTGTCGGCCACCTCTGTGGCGCCCCGGGCCCTCCCACCTCCCCCTGGAAGCCCTCCTGCAGCTCCCCAGTGCTCAGCACAGAGTCCCAGCCGCCCAGCCTGGCATCCGAGGCCCCTCATAAGCTAATTCCCTGCCACTGCCTCGCTCTCGTCTGTGTCCCTCCTCACAACGGAGCCCTCAACTGCCCGTCCTGGTGGCTGCGGGCCCTGCAGCCCGGCTCTCTGCACTCTGAACACCCTGACACTGGCATTCCTCCACCCGGTGCTTGTCCTTGGTCCCCTGAGACTGGCTTCCTGGGCCTCCTACAAAACAGGTGTCCCAACAGAGACACGTGGTGGCTGGGGTCCTGGGACAGCCGGCAGATTCCATGGCTGTGCCCATCTCTCCTTCCCAAGCCCCCGACCCCACCCCCGGGACCAGCGCCATCATCTCACTGGCCGCCTCGCCTGTCTTTGCCCCACACCACAGCCAGAGGGACAGGGTGGACGTGACCCCAGTGCAGGGGCTCCCCATGTGCAGGCCTCTGCTCAACCCCCAGACCCATCTTCATGAAGTCAGCAGGACCCCCTGGGCTGGGCAGTATCATGTCGTCGGGCAAAACAGTACAGAGGGTTCTGGGAGAGCTGACCCCCTGAGCCCCTGCTCACCCGCTGCATGTGGTCTGGTGAGGGCCAGGCCAGGACACACGGCGGGGAAGAGGCCTCTGCCCCTTCTGTTTGCGCTGGGGGTCACCGTCCCCAGGTCTTTCGGCCTGGACTGGAACTGGCTGCCCCGGGCCTCCGGCTTGCGGCTGCAGAGGTGGACTCCCTGGCAGCCCTCATCGCACAAGCCCACCATGATCAACCTCTCTCTCTCTCGCCTACTGAGCTGTCTCTGGAAAACCCCATACCCTTGATTCCTCATGGCAACTGGAAATTACAACGCTTGCTGGTTGTGGCCTCGCTGTCCGTCTCCCTTGCTGAATGAGGGCAGGGGCCTCGCCTGTCTTGTTCCCTGCTGATGCTCCAGCCTATGCCCGTCTGTGCTCAGGGTGTTTGCGGACCGCCTGCCCACCCGAGTGCTCAGGACCTGGGAGATACTCACGGCGAATGGCCCTCAGCCGGGGGATGATGCTGGGGCTGGCGGGGGGGCTGGCCCCATCGGACCCTTTCCGCTTGTCCAGGGTGGGAGACGCTTGTACTGTGATCTTGTGCTCGAAGCCTGCGAGAAGAAGGGACTTCCCTCAGCACAGGCAGCAGGAGGCAGCCAGAGGGAGCCCGGCAGGAGCGGTGGTGGCGGAGGACCTGCGCCTGAGGGCCCGCGTGCCCGCCAGCAGCCGCGGCAGAACTGAGCACACCATGCGCGTGTGACCAGGAACTGGAGTTGAACCCCCGCCCCTAATTGTAATGAGCTGGCTTTTAAAGCTAACAGTGTATTCAGTTGGGGACTGGAAGCATTTAAGCCTGTCTGGGACAAGCTGGGTTTGTGAATCAACTTTTTTCAACTACAAATTTTATGAACTCTAAGTACACATCAAATATTTCTGTATACATTTAAATTTTTCATTTACTTTCATTTTGTTTGAAAGGCAGAGAGAGACAAAGAGTTCAACCTTCCATCTGCTGGCTCACTCCCCAAATGGCCACAACAGCTCCTGTGGCCAGGGGCCCAGAACTCCGTCCAGGGCAGGGACCCCCTGCCGGAGCCATCGCCTGTGCCCGCCGGGGTGCAGGGCGGCAGGAAGCAGAGCTGGGACTTGGACTGGGCGCTCTGATCCGGGCCGAGGACGTCCCAAGCAGCGTCTCATCAAACATTTTTGATGAAAACTGACTGCCCAGATGGAGACGTGTTGAGAATATAAAGTACACATTGGATTTCAAAGATTTAGTGAAAAACGCAGCGCCTGGGCTGAGTTCTGGCTCCACTCCTGAAGCCCACTTCCTGCTGATGCGCACCCTGGGAGGCAGGGGTGATGGCTCGGATCACCGGGCCCCTGCCGCCCACAGGGGAGGCCGAGTTCTGGCGTTTGGGGCTTTCTCTCTCTCTGCCTCCCAAATAAAACAAGCTGGGAGATAAAACCGAAGCACAGACGACTGCCCCCAGCCGCTGGAGACGGCTGCTCTGAGGGGCTGGCCCTTGGCTGTGTCTGTGCGAGGCTTGGGGAAAGCAGCTGTAGGCTCCCCAAGCTCTCCCGGGGGTGGGGGATCAGAACGCCTCACTAAGCTGTGCAGTTAACTTGATTTTTCTACTTGTGACAGATCAACCAAAAAGGTTCCAAACTAGGAGGAAGAGGGAAGCCTGGGCCTGCGCGCGCTGCGGCCTGGGGGCCGTACCGGGGAAGCTCGGGCCGCGGGGGCGGTACCGGAGGGGG